GTGGTGGATTGAAGATGTGTTTATCTACTTCTGTTGGTGATGTTTATTCACCTTTATTTGGTTGTAGAAATTCTTTATGTTCTCCTTCATACAGTTCTATATTCCGTTCTCTTGAGAAATTGTTTATGGGTTTTTCTGATTGGCCTTTTCGACATTTTTTGTATCAATTTCTTGATCGAATGAAATATGAAGCCTATGGGCAGTTCAAAAAAAAAAAAAAAAGAATGGTTTGATGTTGAAGCCAAGAACCAAAACCTGAAAACCTCAATGAATAAGAGCTTGTTTGGTGCGTCTTTTTGGGAAGATCTTCTAGTAGTTTTAACAGTCAAAAGATGCATTGAGCTTTTGCATGAAGATTTGAGCAGCTCGAAGCTAATTTGGCAGTATCACGTCTTTCCATGCGTCTTTCCATGTCTTTCCGCGCAAGAATAAAATGCAAAAGATGCAAAAAGCTTCATTTGGAGCTTTTTGAAATCAGCCCAAAATGGGTTTTTCGCGTCTTTTCGGCACTCCGGCTTTTAGTGACTAGATCTTCCATGAACCAAACAAAAATAGACCGAAAATCAGCCTGGCCAACTTGTAAACAGCCAAAAGATTGCGCGGAAAGATGCACCAAATGGGCCTTAAATTAATTGCATCCTCATTGAGATCTAATTTGACTATAACCCTTTTTTTACCCTAACAATTGAGATCAAATATCACCTACACACTTGGCCGGAATTCAATGCACTAATTTCCTCTATTTAGCATCTTAATATAGATTTGTCATTGTATTTTTTAACAATTTTATTAATTATTGTATTATTTTTAATTAATATCCAATTTTATGGTTTAATTATTCTCATTCCTATTATTAAGCTAACTTAATTATTTTTAGTTAATTAGGTTAATTATATAGTCATTTTGGTAATCTATTTTAAATTGTTTAAACAATGCATATTCCTTTTATCCATTTATTCATTTTTTACTATTTAACCATTTTACTATTCATAGAGAGATAGAGAGAGGTGGATTTGACTTGGTCCAAATCGAGTTTCAAGCTGACCTCGAGAGGCTTTATTACTAATTAAGTTGGGTTCGACTCATGAAACTTGCAAGCCTAATTAAGCTTATATATATTTGCAATTTTTTATATAATACAGTAAGAAACAAAATAAAACAATGAAAACTTAAAAAAGTTATTATTGGTTAAACAAGCATGGCAAGCATAAGGTTGAGTTTGAAATCAAGTTTGAGTAGGCTTGGCACACTATTGAGATTGAGCAAGGCCAAACTCAAAGTTATGAACTTTTGAGGCAAGTTGATTTCAAGCTAGTATTTCTAGCTTGAATTGAGCTTGAGCCCAAAACTAGGGCATTATGCTTTTTTGTTGAACCAAGCTCAAATAGTTTGATATTTGGCTCCGTTCACCTTGGCTCCACCCTTTGGAGGAGGTTAATTTGGCATCTTTGGGGTTATTTCAAGTTAGGTTTCCAATTCTTTTTTGGGTAGCATTAAAGAGATAGTGTTTCTACTTTATAGAAACAAGAGAAAAAAAATAAAGAAATAAGAGAAAATATAAATAGTAATGGAGAAAACAGTATAGTAAGGAGAATGATTTCTAAATGTGAAACTATAGAAACCCAAGACTCAGAGGTCCATTTGTATTCCGGATTTTGATGGGTAAAGTTGATTAGCCCATGGTAAAATTATTTTCCTTGACTATCACTTACCCAAATAAATGATACCCATCTTCAAAATGGGTAAATACTTTTTTCACATCTTTTACATTTGGAAGAAATTTGCTAACACATAACATAATGAGATAAAATTGCTCCTTTTAATAATAACTTTTTTGTTAAAAGGTCATTATCTTATTTACTTGTGAAACAAAAACATAAATAAATATACTTAACCAGATAAATAATGACCAAAAGGAAAATGAAGGGGCCATCAATATTTATAACCCTTTTTGATTCATAGAGATAAGGGTCTAGAATCAAAATTGAAATAAAACTGTTGTTGGGTGGAATTGGAGTTCAAATATGCACCCCACTGCCTCGTGCCTCAAAAACGCCCCACACAATGAAAGCCTGCCAAGTGGGAACGAGATCTGCTCCTCACACATGGGCACTTCGCAGGCACATCCATCGTGCATTGGGAGCATCTCCCGTGAATAACAACTTATAAGTATGGGAGATGTTCCCAATGCTTGGTAGGATGTGCGTGTGAGGTCGGTGTGAGGCACCCATGTGTGAGGAGCATATCTGGTCTCTGCCAAGTGTCCTCCTGCTCCTGCACTTGCCTTGATGCGTGCGGAACTACGGGATGAACGTTTATTCACTCTGTTAGCTCCCAAAAATCTCATTCCCGCTTCTCTCTCGACTCTGTTATCTGTCATCTCATTTTAGTTGAGAACCAAACTTGGATTCCACACTTGCTCTCCAATGCCAGACAACTAAACTTACACTCCACATTTCACCTCCTACACGTATTACCAGTCTGACTCCTAGGGGGCCACGAGTCGAGCTCTTCACGAGCTACTTGAGTTCGCTCGGATCGGTTTCAACTGAGCTTCGAGTCGAGCTCGAGCCCAATTTATAGGCTCGATTAATAAACGAGTCGAGCTCGAGCCTAATAGAGCTCAGCTCGTGAGGCTCTATAATTATAGAAAATAATATATAATAAAAATATTATAATTCTTAATTTTTTAAATATCAAATAAAAAATATTTTTATATATAATTTTTTATTTTTATAAAACATTTTTTCTCAAATCTAGCTCAAGATGAGCTGAGCTCAAACTTATGAGTTTTTTACTCGAATCAAGCTCGAACCTTGTACTACCTTGACAAGCTGAGCTTAGCCTCATACTATTCATCTTGGCTTGGCTCGAATCCACCTTTTCACTCTCACCACGCTTCAGTCATTGCTCTACAATGCAAAAAACTTATGCATGCAACTCGCCCGTTTGTACAACGTTAGAAACTTGATCAACCTTTCAAGAACTCTTTCGGTGCTACTTTGATATAAACCTGTAATTTGCTTTCTAAGTTTCTTTGAACCCATTTTGCATGTTTTTGCTGTGAGTTAGTGAGTTATCATTTTGTCATATTTTATCATTTTCTTCAGTAAGTTTTTGTATTTATTTTTATATAGATTTATTGTGGGTTTTACAGTCCCGAGTGTTCTATATTGAACTTCAAATGAATTCCTATTTATCTCCTTTCAGACATTTTTCCTTCTCTTATTTTCATTTTTTCTATTCCACACTTTTCGTACATATTTCTCACTGTATGGAGGCTAAATATCAGTGGTTCTCTCATTTCTTTCCTAAAAACCCTATAAAGTTGGTTTGGTTGTTTTTTCTGTGATGTTTTCTCCGATTGTTCCCTCTTTGAATTTGGAAGATGGGTATTTTTAGAATCTTTTTATCATAGTTTTGATAAACTTAAACTCTCCATCCAACTAATTTATGTTGTGTTTGGAAATAATGCAAATAAGTGTGAATGCAAATACGTAGAGTGTAAAACGGTTCATATAAATTGTAAAATTGGGTTAGTTTTGCACTGACAAATTTACTTTCTTACCAAACAGACTTTTAGCTATAATAGATGCAAACATGAATTCCAATAAAGCATATGTTTTTTTTTTTTTTTTATCAAAAGCCCACTTGAATGCAAATTTACTTCTTTTTTATTGATTTACTTTTACATCATATTGTCAATGTAAATATGCAATGGTTTGTCATTTGTCAATGCATAAATGTAATGTTGCCAAACACAAGCAAAAGTGAACTAGAGTGCAAATTTACCCTGAATCAGGATTTACACTCCATTTGCATTGTTGCCAAACACAGCCTTAAGGGTTCGTCCTCTTTAGCTTTTTCGTTTGGTAATATACTAATATTTTGTTCACAATTTTCTAAACTTGATGTTTTAAATTCTATAAACGAATTGTCAAAGAGATCCCTGCCGAGAGGTGAACGGAAACATGAATTCATGAACAGAGCTATCAATTTCTTCATGAGATTGTTGTTTAACATGATGAATGGAGAATTAATTAATAGTATTTTGAAGTTTAATATGTATCTTGTATCTTTAACCACTCGGGGAGAGAGAGAGAGAGAGAGAGTATGGGCGATCGAGTTCCACAATGCAAGTCGAGAGTCTTATAGAGCATGAGCGGGAATAAGGATAAATTTTCATTTTGGGTGAATTGGGAGCTAACGGCTCTGCACACACTGAAGAGGGAATGCATGTGAGAGGTCACTTGGCTGGCTTTCATTGTGTGGGGCGTTTTTAGGGTGCCAGGCCATGGGGCACAGATTTGAACTCCTGGAATTGGAGTCTTATTCTCATTGTTGATGGAATGACATTCCTCTCCCTCTTTGAAATGAAATCCCATTCCAGCTAATTCTAATTTTCATTCTAATTCCTATCTAAATCAAATGGACCCTTATATCTTTGATTCCGATAAGATATACACCATGCAATGCCATTATGCCATACCATATATTGATGCTTTAAACTTGCGTATTGGAGGTGAACTCCACAGTCTCCACCAACGGTCAAGGCCAATATATGGCATATAGTATTAGCATTTAGCCAATTAGGGCATTTTCTATGATGCCGGAAGGTATAATACCGCATGAACTTTTAAACACTCAGAACACGAATTCACATCTGCACCCCACAAACGGCCCACGACATATCCCATCGTGTATTTTGGGAGCATCTCTCTCAGTGAGAACTTGGGGAGATGTTCCCAATGAACGCTGAGATGTGCATGTGGAGCGTTCGTGGGGCTCAGATGTAATCTCTCAGAGCCCACCCATTAGTTTGATTAAACCAAACTTAAAATGTGACCACCTCATCGTAATCGCGGACTAAGATTCGAAATTCAAATTAATGAAAAAACAAACGGTCAAAGCCAGCCAGCTGGATCCCACTGGCATGTAATTTAAAATTCAAACACACCGAGCCCCCCAGTAACATCGTCGGTCTTTTTAAATTTTAAAAGGCAAGCTTTCACGGTTTCACCACACCAACCTCTTACTTCAACACTCCCCTGGACCGCAAACCCTACTTTCTTCTACCAGCTTACCGCTCTCTCTTTTCTCTTTCTTTTATTTTTCTATCTTTGCACAGCAAAACAGGAAAATGAGGGAGTGCATTTCCGTCCACATTGGGCAGGCCGGAATCCAGGTCGGAAATGCCTGCTGGGAGCTTTACTGCCTTGAACACGGTATCCAGGTAAGTTACCCCCTTTTCCTTTAATACATTCCTATCTCTCTCAAAATGTATGCTGTTATTTATTTTTCGCCTTCTCTTGTAGCCTGATGGACAAATGCCCAGTGGCAAAACCGTTGGAGGAGGGGATGATGCCTTCAACACATTTTTCAGTGAGACTGGCGCAGGGAAGCACGTTCCTCGTGCTGTCTTCTTGGATCTTGAACCCACTGTTATTGATGAAGTGCGAACTGGTGCCTATCGCCAACTCTTCCACCCCGAGCAGCTCATCAGTGGAAAAGAAGATGCCGCCAATAACTTTGCTAGAGGCCATTATACAAGTATAAGCCCCCCTCCTTTTCCTTTCGTTTTCTTACTAACATACCCTTGTCAGATTCACATTTATACATAACTACATACATTTGGTGTCCGTTTTTTCCATCACAGTTGGGAAAGAAATCGTTGATCTGTGCCTAGATCGTATCAGAAAGTTGGCTGACAACTGCACGGGACTTCAAGGCTTCCTTGTTTTCCACGCCGTAGGTGGTGGCACTGGCTCGGGTCTTGGATCCCTATTGCTTGAAAGACTCTCGGTTGATTACGGGAAGAAATCAAAGCTTGGTTTTACAGTGTACCCATCTCCTCAGGTTTCAACCTCTGTTGTTGAGCCTTACAACAGCGTCCTGTCCACTCACTCTCTTCTGGAGCACACCGATGTGTCTGTACTCCTTGACAACGAAGCTATCTATGACATCTGCCGCAGATCATTGGACATTGAAAGGCCAACCTACACCAATCTCAACAGGCTGGTCTCTCAGGTGTGTATGTTGATCAGTTTGGGTGTCGTCTGGTGACATAGTTCTAGATTTTAGCCTAACCGCGTACCCTTCTTGTAGGTTATTTCCTCGCTGACAGCATCTCTTCGTTTTGATGGAGCTCTCAACGTGGATGTTACAGAGTTCCAGACTAATTTGGTTCCGTATCCCCGTATCCACTTCATGCTCTCTTCCTATGCCCCCGTTATATCCGCAGAGAAGGCATATCATGAGCAACTCTCGGTTGCAGAGATCACCAACAGTGCGTTTGAGCCATCATCCATGATGGCAAAATGTGATCCCCGCCATGGTAAGTACATGGCCTGCTGTTTAATGTACAGAGGCGATGTGGTGCCAAAGGACGTGAATGCAGCAGTTGCCACAATCAAGACAAAGAGGACAATCCAGTTTGTAGATTGGTGCCCAACTGGCTTCAAGTGTGGAATCAATTACCAACCACCAACGGTTGTCCCTGGTGGAGACTTGGCCAAGGTTCAACGGGCTGTGTGCATGATATCAAACTCAACCAGTGTTGCTGAGGTGTTCTCAAGAATTGATCACAAGTTTGATCTCATGTATGCCAAGCGTGCTTTCGTACATTGGTATGTTGGTGAAGGTATGGAAGAAGGAGAATTCTCAGAAGCCCGTGAGGATCTTGCCGCTTTGGAAAAGGATTACGAGGAAGTTGGTGCTGAATCTGGAGAAGGGGACGATGAAGATGAGGGAGAGGAGTACTAGTCCCATAGTTGAGCAGTAGTAGATTTATAGATGTGGCTCTTTTTGCTTTCAGCGTAACATCACCAATCGACTCATTGGCCTGCAATGAGGGATTAAACCGTCCGTTTTATTAGCTAGTGGATTTTCGTAGTTTTCATTTTGGTGTATTAGAGCTGTTTTCTTCAAGAGAACACTCTCTTTCTTAATGGAATCATCATATACAATTCTGTTTTTAGCTAACGTTCTTCCACCCCATACTGGAATATATCTTTGCAAAACATTCGCTAAAGCCTAAAAGGCCATCTTGCTTCTGATTCACGGGAAACATTTCATTCTCTGCAAATTAACACCATAAGCAATTTGCTTAGAGTATATTTTTCTTTTCAATGGTTTAAGTCAAGGAAGGGGATTGTACTTTTTACCTGTTTCTCAATTTCGATGGCAGAAGCAATGAGCCTTCTTTTCAGTATTGACCTCTCTGCTTCGCAACTCTCTACCTTGGTGTCTACATATGTCAAGAAAAAATTCATTGACTTGCTTGCTACAAGAGGTCAGATTTTGTATCAATTTATAAGTAGTTAGATTCTCAGTTCTCACCGTAAAAGTAGGTTGACAAAATTGTGATCCGTTCAGTTGGCTGAAAATAAAAGACAAATATTGTAACTTGTCAATATCCTCTCAAGTATCAACTAAAGCCTAACTTCCTACCATAAAAAAAGAAAGAAACCCTTCATAAGAATAATTACGGGCCATTTAAGATCTGTCAATACTTGGATGCACCTCAAGTATTTAAGAAATCTGCAAACTGACACAACTCCAGCTCCCATGAATGGATGACACTATACCATGTATTTTATTTGAAACAGGACTTGTAGTAAACTATACTTGTACTTTTTCTTGTAGTCATTTATTAAGGAGATTTGCATCATAGCCGAGAACTGAAGACCCTGGAAATTGATAATATAGGTGGAGAAATAGCATACAACTGAACGTACTCTTTTGACCTGTGAGAACTCCCGTCATCCGTTCACATATTTGGAAAGGAGGCAACTTGGAGGACCCCTCCACGAATCCTAGTGGGCCCATCCAGTTCCAAATGTAATATAGAGGTAGCTGAGAACAAGGGTAATCTGATGGGTAGTAGAAAATGATTGCAACAAGTTGCCATAGATGCATTAAAGTGGTAAAATGTATGAACAAAATCTAACCTTCAGAAAGACTAAATGACACATCATCCAATTAAGTCAAAGTTGCACTTGTAAGAAAATAAGGGAATTTTACCATTACAAAGATCCCCTCTCGACGGGTTGGGAGTTGCTCAAGCTTTCTCAGTGTGTCATCGCCTTTCGTAACTCTACCGAATATTGCATACTGAAGTTGGAGGAATGTCAGCCAAAACTTGAGGAGCATAAAGCACTGGAATCATCATTAATAATGTTTACCAAGTGTAACAACAATACCTGGCCATCAAGGTGAGGAGCATCACCTAGAAGGATTGAGAATGAGGATTGTGCACTATTTGGATCAGCATACCTGCGCCACAACACAGATACATATCACAAATGGAAGAAATCAATTTAGGACCAGCAAGAGAATTGATCAATGATCCAGTAGCCAGAAAGAGAAAAAAAGATTAAATAGATAGAGCGGAAGATGCAGAACATCCCATTTTGGTGAAAGAAAACATCAATTTTAAAACGAGTATAAGAGATGCAAAATTACAAATGCTAAAAATGTACTACTAAAATTCCAATTTTAAGTGGATCAGTGTGATAGTTCTAAATCGGGCTTTTGAGATTTGTCCTTTAGTATAATATTAAAAAAATGGCGAGTAATTTCAATCAAGAAATTGGTGGTTATGGTGTGCGATCTGGTGCTCCCTGCCGGCGGACAGCTCAGACGCCAGGCTGGTGAGGTCGCCTGGGCGAGCTGCAAGAAAACAATATCAGAGTGTCTGGGTTGCTTTACCCAGGGTGGGCACTCTGATACAGTCTTCTTGCAGCTTGCCCAGGTGACCTCACCAGCCCGGCATCCGAGCTGTCCGCCAGCAGGGAGCACCAGATCGTGCACCATCAGGTGGCATCATGAATAAAGCAAGATTGAAGCATAACTAGCAAAAGGATTTCATGAAAAGTAAAGCATAACTAGTGAGGAGATTTAAGGTTAAACAAGGATGAAAGTTTTTTTTTTTTTCTTGATGAATAACAAGGACAAAATGTTTAGTGAGTAATAACTGGATAATTATGATTTCGAATCACCTTAGTGCCGTCAAAGGGTTGGATTTGGTTCAGCCAGGGTAGACCAGGTCCCCAATCATTATCATCTAAGCCTTATCCCCACTATATGGGGTCCATTACACAATCCTGTTTCATCATTCTGTTCTGTTACATATCCATTGTAAAATTATGAGAACTTAAATCATTTCTTACTACTTCAACCCAGGTCCTTTTTGTAATAGCCATAGCCCTTCTAGCCCCTTTAGCTTGCAACAGATTGCTTCTTTCTACAGATGCTGTAGATGGTCTTCAATGCACTCGGTCCCGAACCAATTAAGAAATGTATAGACCCAGTCCCAAACTATATCCTGTAGAATTTATTACTTGCAAAACTAGAACAGTCCTTATTATTAATCAGGATAAGACCCAATCATAATTGGCAGGTATTTAGAAATAAATTGGGATCTGTTAAAATTCTATTGGTGTTAAGAGATTTGTTAGCATCTTAGAGATTCACACAGTAAAATTTTGATACTAAATCAGAAAACAGACCGTCTTGCATTTTTTGTTGAATGCCATGGAAATATACTAAAGAGTTCATCCCCAATCCCCAAAAACACTAAGAGTGGGATGGCCATGAAAAGATAAATACTGCTCCAATGCAACTATGATGTCAGATCTCATTCCATTAGAGACAAAAATCAACCAACTCTCTAGGTTGATTGTTTGGCTCAGGGAAGTTGATAAGATTGATCTATAGGGTGAGATCATCCAGATTAGGCCTGGTTTAGTGACTACTGCTTGTTTTTTTTATTGATTATAAATAAATTATAATGAAAACGGAATATGATAGGGCACTTACTGTCCAGATCTGATGTATGGCTACAAATCATTCATTCCAACAACTGGCAGATGGCACATAATAGTTTGGTTTCACATGGAAACATCTTAAAGCAAAGACAGATCTCTATTCCTATCACAGGGAATAGGACATCTAATGCATGCTATAATGATACATGAAACAGACAACTGTGCCACAAAGAAGCACCATAACATGGGACAGAACTAGGGGTGTGATGGATTGTACCGGGGCCAGGCCAGGCTTACCTCATGCATCCCCATGCAATGACAAAACACCCCTTTTCAAGATCCATACTTGTTATTATCATGCTTTCATATAAAATATTGGAGTTGGAAATTTCCTAGGAGGGACCCATCTTAAAGGGCAAAAAAAGGAACCCAACTTCATTGCAGAACTGCATTGGTGTAGACTGTAGACTATGATGTTGGTCGAGCACTTTTTGTTCTCTTGGCACAACCACTCAGTAATACCAAACTATTAGGTGCCATCTGCCAGTTGCTTCTAGTGTTCAAAACTCAAAACCAAGACCCAGACTGCAACTGCTAGAGATAAGAGATCACTGCCAACCACTGTTGCTACTGTTCTGACTCATAAGATAGATGCACTAGTCACTACCAACACGGCTTGCCAAGCTCCAAATAGGTGCTGAACTAAACATTTAAACCAAGATAATGCAGTGTGCAGAGTGCTGAACCATCAGCAAGCTTGATGACGGCAAGATTGCAACTGCTGATTGCTTCTAGTTTGCTTATTGCTTGCCAATTTAGAAGAGGAGATCAGGGCTTCTCTCTTTCTCTAGGTATCTTATATATTATGACAATTTTAGACATATTAACATGTCATTATTATATGTAAGCCATGAGAAATAGGTTTTTAACTCTGGGGGTATGCATTACATTATAATACATAGTTCATTCAGGTCTTAATCAGGTCAGAACAAGAAAAACTGATCCTAGACCTATTATAATCAGAACTCAAAACCAAAACCAAGAATCAACCCTATTATAATCGATACACAAAACACAGATACCAACCCTATATAATAAGATCAATTTGGTTCAGGTCTGTCAAGTTGACCCGACCAATTGACAGTCCTATACTAACTATTTGAGAATTGAAGCATATCCATAACATCTCCCTTTTCCATAAACATGAAAAAAAAAATGGGTGGGGGTTTGAGGAATATGTGATACCCAACATTTTGGGTCAACTCTATTAATTCTAAGATCATAACTAACCATATAATCTTATTGGTAATAACTCTTTCATACACCATAAATCTTGAGTATTCTGTCAGGCCAGATGTTACCCCACCAAAGACGATCTTCCAAATGTTTGTGTATGACACACTAATACCAGGCACTGAAAGGAGAAAAAAATTTATCACTAGCAATCCACAACTTCTAAATACATTCTTTTTGATAATGACTGCAAGTGTGCTATACACCACACATCTGGAGCATTCTGTCAGTCTAGATCCCCCCCTTTCCAAAGACAATTTTCCAGATATTTGTGTATGATAAACTTGTACCCAGCACCAAAAGCGGGAAAAAGATGCAACACTAGTATTCATGAATTCTTACAACTATTCATTCATTCATCCTAATAAAAAGATATTTTTAAAAAATCAAAATTATAAGATCATTCTTTTGTGGGAATTAAGAATGCAAAACCCAAAATGGACTTATTTTGGCTTGCCTCAAGGGGCTTGGTAGTTGGTACAAAGGCAGCCCATAGAATCAGGATTCAGGAATGCAAAATGTTTAACATCACATTAGCTATTTGAAATAATGCGATTAGGAAAAAATATAGAGATAGAAGGTTTTACATGCTCAAATATGTTTTATGTTATATTTGATTTTAAGTTTATATTTTTAATAATATTACATTTAATATTTTTATTTGTGCACTCTTTTGAATGTTTTGGCATTTTTGAACCTTACTTTGGAGAGTCATGAACCTCGCCTTGTGCTTTGTGCATTAGGCTCAGTTTGGAAAGAGTACAGATACAAATATGTACAGTACAAATTCATAGAAAATAATACAAAATACAAGGCTTTGCACTCTACAAATTTGTATTTGTACTCCTTCCAAACTGAGCTTCAGGTGCAAAATTCCCTTTGCACTTCTTTTGCACCTTGCACTTTTAAAACCCTGCTCTCAACGCATGCACCAGTGTGTGCACCAATTTGTGTTACATTCTTATGATTTTTTTTTTTTTTACAGATTAAACCAAGTCAACTGTCTCATGACACAATGAACCAGATTGACATGGCTGAATCTTACTACATTCTTAAGAGAGGATTAAAGAACTAAATCTTCCTTATAAATTAACAAGGAGAAGCCAAAGACATTTGGAATGACATCACAGAGAAGTCCTGAAATAAAATTAAAAGTTTCTAGAAAACAATTTCTTAAAAGACCTTACCTCCCCATAGAAAGAATACCTCTTACATGTTTGACACTACTAAATTCACCAATAATGGTTTTTGCAGCTTCTTCCCTTTGTTCCTCATTCAAAGGAGCTGTTCTACCACCCAAAACATCTGCCACTTGGGCAACAAATCCCTTGTCAACCTGCATTGAGTTCAATTTAGTATATCTCTACTGGTTTGCTAATCAATCTGTTATGGAAAAATCACAATTCTAAATATTCCAGTCATTACCCGGAAGAAGTGATTAGTATTATAGCAACCCAAACGGACAAGTTTGAATATGTGGTCAACAGTTTTGGGTGCAACACTGGGAAAAAATCCAAATTCAATGTCTCCATAATTAGTCTGCACGGAAAGTATGTCATGTCATTACATGGTTAATGCATAAAAAAGTGAATTAAACAAATTCAAGCTTTTATAATAACCATAATCACCATCAATTTATCTGGATATCAGGAAGCCAATTTTTCTCAGGATGTAGATTTCACTGTAATGCCTGGAGAGCAATCTTTTTATAACTAGATTGTATAAATTATACACAAAACTGTTAATATGAGTCATTAGGGGTAATGGTCTTTTGGCCAGACCTTGTGCAAAAATTAACATCAAAATGATATGATCCTGACCCAATGGGTCAGTTCCTGTGATTCCATGTATTTTCATAAAGAGTTTTTTTTTTTTTTGATAAAAAATGGCAACGAAGAAATATTTTTAATGATATTCCAAGGTTCTTTTTCTTCATTCCATCTTTTCATGTATATAATTGGCAACAATATTGACCTAGTGGACAATGACAATGCTCACACCAAGTCCAACAAAACTGCCCATGTAAAATTAGTTGATGAACGAAAGTTCTACATTTTTTCATACATAGTTGTTTCCATTTTTATAGTATATGTATTACTTATTCAGTTTTTTTTTTCTCTCTCCCAGATTTCATTACAAAACAACTCCAAAAGTTGCAGCTTAGCATTATTATTATAGACTTTGGGTGTACATTATAGATTTAAGAAGCCTGCACATCAGGGCCAAATTAGTTCTTTGCTGCGACATATTCTAACATGATTTTGCAGACAAGACTAAGCACGAAATTGTTAAAAATAAATTCCTATGAGGATCAGAGACCAGATGGGTAATAATCAGGTAAAACAGAGATTAATCAGATGCCTTGTCCAGAAGGAATTGGTACCCATAGCAATTATGTCATGACCCATTCCTGAAGCCCATGAATATAGTGTACGGAATACCATCTTAAGAGAAAATTTTCACAAATTTCAATAGAAAATCTCTGCACAAGTTACTGTTCCTAGTAATATGTACGCAAAAAAAAAAAAAAAAAACAGGTACATAATGATAATTACCCCATGTGATGAATGCACCTACTTAAGGAAAGTCCATCACCTCCCCAAAGTTCCTTCAATTTTGGATTTTAATAGCAAATGTTAAAACCACTCTCCCATTATCAACAACTTCTCCAGTTATATCTTTCTATTTCTTAAACAATAGTTTCTTAAGTCTGTATATTTGATCCTCCAAATCTTTCCTTACCAATACTTTCTTAAAATAAAATATTCTTTTTAAGAAATGCTAGGTTTAATCATGTTTGTTACCATTCAGTTCTACAACTTATAGTTTATTCCTAAAGTATTTGAAGTTTTTAACAAATAAATTTTTCTCTTTTCAAATCCTTTTCTTTGTAGTACACATATGAGGCACCCAAACATACCCATGGATGCTCACAACCTTAACATATTTTAGCTTGGAATCTAGCATTCTCACTCTTGTTCTATGCTCCTAAGGACATCATTTTGTGTGGAAAAAGCATGTGGTTATGATCTGCACTCATAGGAAGATTGGTTCCAGCAGCTCTCCAGCTTCTCATAAGTTGTAGGAACTTGACAAGGACTCCGACCTCCATTGCTAAAATAACAAACGTGTAATTTACGCCTTTATACTTAGCCTCGAAATTTCAGTAAGTTATCTTCGTATACAAACCACACCAGACCTTAAAAGAGATAACCCCTTATAAAATCTATCCTTCGGTTTCAACATTGCACTCAATCAAGCTTGAGTATACATAACCATACCTGTATAGTTTACTAATGAGCTCAAAGAACACTGGGAGGGAGTATGAATATGAATATGAGGTTAATAAATGAAACCAAAATTATAGCGGTATGATCTTGTTAATTTACAATCATAAAAAGAAAAATAAAAAGAAGATAGAAAAGCTGGACGAAATATGGATAGAAGCAGGCAGGAGTTCTCTTTCAGAAACCTACTCCTGTAGTCATCACCAAGTGAGCTATTAAACCACGGAGCCACTTTCCCAAGAACTCGATATTTTCCTAGTTCTTAGGATCCACGTTCTTCCCTACTGGAATCTTATCGCAATAATCACCTACTAAAGCGACCTATGTACCAGCACATTGTGGGTTATATACTAAAATGTGATTGAACTGGAGTAGATTATGAAAAACTTCCATTTCAGTAAACAATCTCCCAAGAAATATCAAACAATTTTCGAAAATTCAACAGAAATCCAAAATAGGTACAAACTAAACGAATAAAAATGAGGGCGAAAACTGCAGACTCTGGTGAAAATACCTGAAAAACAACGCGAACCGATCCGAGTTCGGGATCTTCAGAGGAAACCTGAACAAAAGCAAGCAAGAGGCAAGTAACGAGGATCGACAACCGACGACTTCTCCACATTTTGTTCTGACTTTGGCGTGAGATCTCAGTTCAGACGAGCTGAAAATAGTCGTCGTCCCTCCCCCGCGCTACTTCAACCGTATAACGTGCACCAGTGGACATATTCCAATCTGACGGTTGTCAGTGTTAGCTATTGGCTCTATCCGCTTCAATTAAAAATGTGAGAAATTTTTTCGGAAAAGTACGACAGGCCTAATACAGATTTTTTAATTCCACCGCAAATCTATAAACATTCAAAACGTAAAAATCACACTCTACGCATTCATACCCGTCCGGAATTGGCATCAATTCCGATCCGGCACTATGACCCACCCCAAATGTTTTTTGAGCCTAATATACCTTTCTCATAAAAGGGAGAAAATTTTTCAGGTGCCAATCAGGATATATTGGAATTCAATCTTAAACACACTGGGTCTGATACAATTTGATTCAAAGATTCAATCCGATCTTTATAAATATCGATTTGAATTCAAATCTAAGATGTTGGATATCCCAATATGACCTGATCTAAATTATTTTTTAAAAATTAACAAGTTATTAAAAGAAAAAAGAAAATATAATTCTTTAAATAAAGAAAAACAAAAAATACATGTATTTTTCAACCATTTTCATCAATTTATACATATTTTTATAAAAATTAAATAATATAAAAGAATTTACAAAAAAGAAATATAAATAAATAACATATACATATATATTATATACAAATAAATAAAGTAAACATTATATTACATTTCACCTCATAATTCTAAATTCCACTACAAATTTACAATAATTTAAAATTTTAAATACCCCTACCTATAATATCAATACCCACCCATGTATTGGCATCGAATCCCACATCTACCCCAAGTATATGGTAGAACTAAGATTTATTGAGATAGACTGAACAATAAAAACCACATAAATAAATAAATAACATATATCATATTGGATAGAGGGATGATCTGAATCGGATCCAAAAGTTCAAAACATGCATATAATATAGGATAGGACTTCAAATCGGATCGGTATTTGCACCCCTACGCAATACTTGACTGTATTTTCAGTTTTCACCTATTTGGCCATTTCACCATATAAAAATGTTTTCATTGTCATATATATCAAGACATGAAAAAAATAACGGAAAATTTTTAATTTGAAATGTTTCGGGTCAAATGATAACCTACGCTACTCATACAGTTTGGAACTTCTCTTTGTCTAGTAGCTGCATAGCCGTAGCAGTCTAGCTGGCATCTCACGGGGAGGTCAATGGGCTGGGCCTTCTTCTATTAAGCCCAAAACATTAGTTGATTCTTCAAAGAGCTCACGTTGTTTTCTTCTTCTGTTTTGGGTAATCAGCCTATCCTTGTTAATGGACCTTTCAGGATTATAAAGGATTTTGCTCAGATCTCCTATACACAAGACATTTCAGCCACACATCGAGAACATCTCCCATAATTATTTATAGTCATTGACGGGAATGCACGGTTGTAGTGCCATGTGGGTAGATATAAATAATTAAATAGGTTTACAATATGGCTGGTTTTGTTTTTCAAAACAAAAACAATTGCCCTATCAACAAAAAACAATATCATTTCCTTGTTGCAGCAGCTGTATTTATCTTAAAAAAATTAAACCAGTCATGTTGTCAAACACCCCCTATTTCACTTTCTAATAAAAGACAATATAACGTTTCCTTCTCTATGTCCACTGTCCAGACGGCAGGATTTTGTAACATTTTTTTTAGTGTATGACTAAAAAAGTTCACTAGTAAGTAAATGTGGATATGATTGCTCCAATCAGGCCATAGATGGGCCTGGCCTAACCAGCCCACAGTTTGGGAGAATTACAATTTACAAGCCTGCGCTAAGAAAATAGTCGGAGGTTGGTCTCCCCTCCCATGTCCCATGGCTTTAAATTTTCAGTGGTTTGTGATTTCAGGGAAGCCGCACTTTTCTTGTTGAAATGAAGTATTTAAGGGGTCCTTACCAACATAAACTGAGTTTTGCGGTGCGATTCCATGAAGCTGGGATAATGTTCAGGAATCAGAGAATCATCAGTTGATTCTTCAACTTAGACTGATTTTCGTTTTCTTATTCCAGTCTACATATTTTATCGGCAAAAGGTTAACAAAAGAGAGTAATGGTGAAATGGAACCAGTTGCCCAGTTTTCAGAAAGTTGATTACAAAATTGGAGAAATATTCTTTTTTAGGTTATTCGAAATCAGTTACAGAAAATGGCATGTTAGAGGATGGATTTGTCATCCACCAAGAAAATTCTATTAGGCCGTTTGGTTCGTGAGAATAAGGGTCTAGAATCGAAATCGGAATGACAACTTTTTGGTTGGATGAAATCAGAATCCTATTCTAAATCCTGCAGAAATGGAATCCAATTGACCAAACAGACTATGAGAGTGGACTCTGGCTTTGATTTTAATTGCAAATCAAACAGACCCTAAAATTTTCTGAAAAATGGGAGATGTGGCTCTATCATCCACCATGAAAAAGAGGATTTCCTCCATTTTAAAAAAGCAGCAAAACTTTTTTTCGCATGTACTTCACTTTTTTATGAAAAAGAAATAAAAAAATGTTGTGCATATTTTGTTAAAAAAAAAAAACTATTACTTAATAGATAATCAAATTGGTTGGTCAAGATTTTATTGGATTGCAGGTATTATACATTAATGAACTATTAATTATATGAAAACCCTACTCCCTAATGACTAATAAATAGAACAAATGAGTATCACAAATAAAATAAAAGTTGACATGAAAAAGTTATAATAAAGACAATAAAGAATAATGAGCAAGCATTACATAGCTCTTGTTGTCTGGATACTTTTTGCCAATGCAAACAAAGCATTCAATCTGTTGTCACTCTGTGATGAAGCTTTGTAACGCACACACAAAAGAAAAAAAAAAAAAAAATCTAACCGTATGATGCTATAAGCTGCAAGATTGGATATTTTTGGAACGGTCGAAATCAAGGATTCCATTAATTGCAAAATGGTTCATTGATTTTGATGGTTAGAGGCATCTAATCAAGTAGGTTTCTTGTCTATTAAATCTTGTACAAAGGTTATAGCATTTCTACAATCCAATCTGAAATGATTTCCCACCAAATCCTCTCAATCAAAACAAGCAATTGCCATACCTATAATAGTCCAAGAGCTATTGGATACTTCTTCTGAGAATAATATATCAAAATTCATGTTAGTTATGCTATNCCCCCCCCCCCTATCCATTAAATCAACTGAATCGGGTGGATTTAAGTCTATAGATTTATTTGTTGGATGTCAAATTGTCAATCCATGTCGAGTTGGTTATGAGGCATCCCTCCTCAGATTTGAAACTGAGGCAAAATATTTATTTGTTGGGTGATAGAAAAGAGCTAGTATTTTCTTCATGAATGAAAGAAGAGCTAATCAGAAACTGGGGAATAACCTCAGAACTCTAATTAAGTTTTGCTAGATAATTATTTGAATTATATTTGGCTTGTTCTGTTTTGTAACTCTCACATTGTTTATATGGATTTGATTTTTCATATTAATTCAGGATTCAATTAAGAAGCAAATCCAGTTTATCAGTAAGGGTGTCAATGGATTGGTTTTGGACTGGACCCCGTTCAATCCAAAATCAATTTGAATGGATTGGATGGACCAACAAGACATATTGGATTGGACCAATCCAGTCCAAAATTTTTATTAGATTGGATTGGACCTGGTCCGTCTATAATAAATTTATATTAGATTGGATTGGATTAAGCCAATATTTGGTCTATTAATATATAAGAATATAGATGTCTATGAAACAGATTTGAGTTAAAACCAATTTAAATTAAAACGAATTTGAACAGATTAGATGATCCAAACATTGAATTAGACCAGTCTAAAATGATCCAAAACATTCATTGGATTGAATTAGACTTGGTCCATTTGTAATGGACTTACATTGGACTGAATCAGAATGGACCAAATCCAGAGCAATTGACACCAACCTCTCCATATTCACTAATCAGGTAATCAAGCACTCGTTTTTATCTGTCATTAATGGAGGGAAAGGTGTTATAGTCACCAGACAACGAGTTTTAGTCACACACTCACATGGCTTGTCACGTTCTATATATTAAAAGTTTAAAATTATTAAAGCAATATCCATTGAGACTCGTTAGTTGCACCATATCTTGCTGTCTTTCCTAAAACGAGTTCTAATGCGGGACCATCGCCAGATGTGGATTAGGAGACCTTGCTGAGAACTATTTAAGGCCATGGCCCAGCTGGAATGGAGTATTAAATAGGGAATCCACCCATTGTCACAAATTTTAGAAGACAGGCTTTCGATTGATGAACCCTTAATCGAATAGGATAAGATTCTTATACAACTACTTCTTTCTCATCATACGTTGTTTGAGATCGTAATACAACTGTTTTCTGGTTTCAGGCCCCCACAGAGATTGGCTCCACGAATTGATGCTCTAAGTTGTTGACAAATGAAACCTTCAAGTACACATTCTTCTGTTTTAAAGCAATTCAATTTCCAATTTTCAGTCCATGTACAACATTTGGTGGTTTTTGTAATTTGCATCACCAGAAATCACTGAGAACTCAGAATACAAAATCTGGGAAGTTGGAGATACTGTGTCCACCTGGCAAAAACAATTAAACATAGCCACGAAGAAGTATTGATTTATAGAAGGAAAATGTTGCACTTCAAAAAAAAAAGGGAAATTGTCTAAAATTCACCATGAGTTTTCGGCATTTCTTTTAAACTCACCACAATTTTTCAAAATGTCTAAAACTCACCATGCCACTAACTTCACGTTAAATTGACTAACAGGTGTTAATATATTATCATTTTAACCTTCATAAAAATATAAAATATATACAAAATAAATTAACGGGTGTTAATATATAGCCATTTTAATATTTAGACATGAAAAAAGGAAAAGTTCAAAACATATTTTCAAATATAAAATATATAAAAACATAGAAATTACAAAAAATATAGAAATTGCAAACAAAATAAAAAATAATTTTCAAATTATAGAAACTATAGAAATTGAAAATCAAAATCAGAAAATAAAAATTGTAGAAAAAACAACAAAAATTATAGAAAAATACATAAATTGTAAATAAATAACAAAAATACAGAAAAAATTTATAGATTGTAGAAAATAGAAAATGTAAAAAAATAGAAATTATAAAAAA